AAACTATTCCTAAATCATGAACAGTTAATTTTGAATTTGAGATCTTTTTTAAACTGTAATGTAAATTTAGAATTATTACCACTGATTTAAGGCTTCAGTACTTTATTCTGCTATTTTTATTACTCAGTTGAATTTTAAACTGACCTAGTGATCTGAATAAAGGATATATTATAGTGTTGTGCCAATACATATCTACAAAAGGTATGATGTGTGAGATGAAATAACAGTAGAACTGATTTTATGAAGTAAACATATTTCATTATTTTATTTAAATGGATTTTATGAAGCAGAACATATTTATGCTTACAGTATCCTTCTAAATAAAGGGTAGAAATTAAAGGGTAGAAATATCAGGCATTTTAATATCAAAGCTTTGCAACGTGTATACATTCAGAAGGCATCTGCTCCTGCTCTTTTTAATTTTTTTTTTTTTCCAGATAGACTGAATGTTTCTTATGGTGCCATTGTACTTCCAAATTCAGTAGAACTTAAAAAAAAATTAGTATTTGGAAGCAGCATTATATAATAGCTTAATTCTCTTAAAGATGGTATTTTTGGGTTTAGTTTATTCATGCTATAAGAATAAAACTAGGTAGTTATGCTCTTTTATGGTGATTTTGCAGGTATATTTATTTGTTCTTGTAATTCAAGTCCACTGGAAGTGATGTTGCAGCTACCCATTTTATTCAAGTTAAGGCCTCATGTTAATGTCCCTGTCAGGTAATGACATTTTTATACAAGGTTATGTAGTTTGTGCATGACTACAATAGTCATGCAGCCATTCCAGCAGCCATGTACGAAGTGAGTTTTATTCTTACCGCTCTCACAACTGCCTGTTACTAGTGGGGAGTATTACTGAAGATGCCAGCCTACGTAAGTGTAGGGTAGTATGAATATATCAGTGTGGAAGTAAGTTTGCGGACTGACCAGCTTTGGTAGATGGAGGTTCTGCTGAAGTTACTTAACATCTCATTCCCAGGCCACAGAGAAAGTGGACAGGCTTTCCCGATAAGGACCTCTCTGTTAGAAGGAAGAAATTTAGCTGAATTATGCTTTGAGTCTTAACTGTGCCCTTAAAATGCAAGCTGCTAAGTGGCCAATGCTGTTACTCACAGTTAGTTGTGGAAGACATTTATGAACAGGTTTTTCTCCTTTTTTTTTCTTATTGTTTGCTTTTTCCTGTCTTGTTATTGAACATCTCTTCATATTCAGAGAAGGAAATTGCCCATATCCAAAACCATGGGGAAGCCCATTGGGTTATTTTATGATTCTGAACAGACTATTGGCAAAATATCTTTGGAAGTTTATAGAATCATAGAATAGTTTGGGTTGGAAGGGACCTTTAAAGGTCATTTAGTCCAAACCTCCTGCAATAAGCAGGGACATCTTCAACCAGATCAGGTTGCTCAGAGCCCCGTCCAACCTGACCTGGAATGTTGCCAGTGATGGGGCATCTACCGCCTCTCTGGGCAACCTGTGCCAGTGGTTCACCACCCTCATTGTCAAAAATTTCTTCCTTAGAACTAGTCAAAATCTGCCCTCTTTTAGTTTAAAACCATTACCCCTTGTCCTGTCGCTACAGTCCCTGCTAAAGTCTGTGCCCGTCTTTCTTATAAGTCCCCTTTAGGTACTGGCAGGCTGCAATAAGGTCTTCCCAGAGCCTTCTCTTCTCCTGGCTGGACAACCCCAACTCTCTCAGCCTGTCCTCACAGGAGGGGTGTTCCAGCCCTCTGACCATTTTTGTGGCCCTCCTCTGGACCTGCTCCAGCAGATCCATGTCTTTCCTGTGCTGAGGGCTCCAGAGCGGGATGCAGGACTCCAGGTGGGGTCTCACCTGAGCGGAGTGGAGGGGCAGAATCCCCTCCCTCGGCCTGCTGGCCATGGTGCTTTGGATGCAACCCAGGAGACGGTTGGCCAAAGGACTGTGAGCGCACGTTGCCAGCTCATGTTGAGTTGTGTAAAATAAGCTTGATCACTCTAGCCTTTCTTTTGGCTTCATAACTCTTTTATAAACTCTTACCGTTCCTTTTAAAAACTATTCCCCCCAGTTCCCTTGGGTCCCAAGGAATATAAGTTTTATTAAGAATATCTCACTTGGCCCAAGGGTAGAAGTAGTATTTTCCTACTTCTGTTAATGAAATATCTGGTACTAATGGTGTAATGGGTACCCATGGCATGTTACCAGCCTCTGTGAAGAACAGATGTTAGAGAGGGTTAAGAATTGGTTTATTACTTTGTATCTCGACTGTGCATGCACAATTCAGAGAATTTAAGTCTTAGAAGTCTTTGTTTTTTTAGATTCTGGGGGAGAGTGTAGTGTGGTGCTTAATGTGCTTTATCTCTAAAGTGTAATTTCTTTTCCTTCTTTTTATCATACTTCTGTTTCCCCATAACTACTCAGGTAGGTTGAGGACAGGGCAGAGGCCACTTGCTTTTGGTTCCTGCATGCAGCACCCAGCACACCAGAGCAAACGAGCAAGTGGTTAATTCCCCACAGACCTGGGTTGCTGTAAGGGCAGAGCAAGGTTAGTCACCGGATTTCAACTCATCAACTGCCTTTTAATGTGAGAAGATTAATTTTCAGAGACTTCCTATTTCATCTCTTGTTTTGAGGAGACCAAATGGTATCTTCTTAAACCACCCTGTCCAATTTGAGCACTAAATCAGTGGTTGTAAAAGAGTTAACATACACAACTGCAAGTGTGTTCTTCTAGTTTTGTTCTAGGAAACAGCTGAAGTATTTTTTTCTAAAAATTTCCAGAGAAAGTCTGCCATCTGGTATGGAAAATGTTACTCTAGACTTAATTTGGCAAAAATTTGACCAATTAAAAATAACTGTACAATCTTAAATGTAAGGCAGTCTTCATTGTAGACAGTGCTACCAGAAATGTTTGTAATAATACCAGTTGTATGGTAGTACTTCTTGTTCTACTGAACTCTCCTTCAAATACCTTGGAATCTAAGCAGATAAGCAATAGGGCAATGACAATAACCTTCAGTCTGACCCATTTGTGCTCCGTATTCTGTCAGTGGTAATGCCTGTAACAGTAGCAGTTGTGTGGCAGCACCTTTCTTGGAATAAGTGTCTCTCCAAACACCTCAAAAACTAAGTAGACAAGCACATAGGGCAGTGAGAATAACCTGTAGTCCAATCCATTTTGCTTCTTATTTGTTCAGTAATGGCCGTGAGCCATTGCTAGCGAAGGCAGATAAAGGGTAAAATGATTTTTAGCTGAGAAAATTTCCCTGTATCTTTTTCTGTCAGTAGCATAGGAAATCTCTATGCTGGAAAGCAGATTGGGGTTATGTTCAGTAGCTGCTCATGGAGTGGTCCGTAACTCCCCTATCCACCATAAATTTATGTAGTTTGATTTGAAATCCACTTATACTTTTGATCCCTATAATATTCTGTCATCATGAGTTGCACAGTTTAATTATGTGCTTAATACCGTAATGGTTTCTCGTTTTCGGGCTTCATGAAACTTGTTTTCCTCTAAGGTGAGAAATCGGGCATTGTTGTTCCCTATTCCCACCTTGTTTTGGCCATGTATGAATTTGTGCCCAGCATTGGCTCTCGCTATTCCAGACAAGTAAGTTTTAGGTTTTTCTTATATGGAAGCTTTTAAATGCCTGTTCCATTTTTCCTGTTTGTGTTAGATCCTGTATCTTTTCCCCACTTTTGTCTTGCTGAATCAGTGTAATTGCTCTCTTACTGAAACCTCTTTTCACCCACTCACTGTTTCATTCTTCCTCCTCATTAACAGATTTTCTTCATTAATCTCCCACTTTTTCACTCTTCTCTGTTTTGAAAGGTTATTGCTAGCAGTGGGTTGTCTTTGAACCCCATGAAAAATCTCTTAGACAGGACCTAATTTGAGGGATTAAATAGGTAATGATGTATAGGGGAAAGTGTGTCTTCCAGGTAGGAATACAGCAATTCAAAGCCTTGCAAATATTTAGTGAGAGCTGGAGGAAAGAAGTGTGCATATGTTTTAAATGCGTAATTACAGTTTTGTTTTATTTGCCTTTAGGATGTTTGAGTGGCTTTTTTTCCCAGGGTGGCTCTTCACAGCTGTGAAAGCTGGAGTCATTAAAAAATTAGTAAGAATTTTTATCTAACCTGGAGATTTGGGGCTATACGAGCACTGCAGATATTGAAGGCAAAACTGTTGTTAAGTGCCATGTCCCCCAGCAGTGCTGTGAGTGCCAGCCCACAAGTGGGAAGGACAAGCACTCTACCTCTTAAAACTTTGAGCCCTTTGAGGCTGAGGATGGGCAAGAGTTCAATGTTGTCTTTTGCTGCAGTGGATCGCATCTTCATTTTGCTTTTGGTAGCTGGAGTTACTAATAGGCTTGCAGTTTAAATAAATGACTGTAAGGTACATACTGGTTAAAGTGCAGGGTGGTGGTGTTTTTAAGTGTTATACATGCTTAAAGCTGAACAAACATTTTGCTGGATTCTTCAGGTTGCACAGATACCTTGTGGGTTTTTTTATTAATCTTGGTAGTTTTATTAGTTTGGTGGGAACAAAATTCTAGGGCACTTTTTGTGACCTAGAGGAAAGAAAAGATATTACTGTGATGTTGCTTCTGGGCTACTCAAGAATTCATTAAAATATGGGGAAGACTTAATGTGTCTGAGAGTAATACATTTATGGGAGAAGTAGCCCTAGCTAGACTTATTTCTAGTATGTACTAAACATTTGCTGTCTTAATAAGAGAAGGAAGGTATGGAAGAAATGTCAATCATTGCATATAAAAAAAGTTTTTTAAAATTTCCTATTTATGTAGTGAGAGCAAATTTATACTTTTGCTTTATCAAGGTGGTGTGGTTAGCTTACAGTTTAGCTGGGTATCCAGACATTAGACTAGTAAAGAATGAAAAGAAAACAAGGTGCAGAATTTGTATTAATTAGAAACTGTCCTCTGAATGGTGGTGAAGAGCTCACTTGGAATTCATGGTGCAATTTTTAAAAAAAGCTTCTTTTCTTCTTTCACAGGAAAGATGATAAAGATTATGCTTTAAAGCAAATAGAAGGTACTGGAATTTCTATGTCTGCATGCAGAGAAATAGCAGTAAGTAACATTAGTTCTTTCTACTAGCAAACAGACTTATTAAAAGTATTGATTTGAGTGCATGCTGTGTTTTTGCTGAATCACGTTATTCTACTATGGGTGCTATGTTTTTATCATGGAGGTATAAAATAACTACAAATGTCATGAAAGATTTTGCACACCTGTTATGTTTGCGGTCTAAAAATTACAATGTTTTAAAGTTAGTTTACTGCCTGCCTCGGGGAAGATTAACTTTAAATGCAGCAGTTTAAAAACATAATTTAAGCCACTGACTCTAATCATGCATTTGATCTGACTTTTGCATTAGTACTTCAGTTATTTTCCTAAAGAGATTAGTTCTTATTGGCTCATAATGATTAAAACATGTTAGCTTCTATTTAAGTGAAGACTTCAAACTGGTGGTTTTGTTGCCTCGGAGGCTGTAATACACCCATGGGTATTATTCAAACATTTTCTTATGTTATGCAGGTTTGTGTATATATATTCCATGTTGTTAGAAGCTGGTGAATAATGTGGTCTAGTTATGGTTTGTGACAAGCTTCCAAAGAAACACTGGTAAAACCAGCATTCTGAAGTTTAACTGTTGTATGTTCTTAGTTGTACTGCAGCTTGGGTTTATTTTTCTTGAAATGTTTCAACTGAAATTGCTTGCTAAAAGGAAATGCATGTAACTTCTGTGTGTGTGGGGAAATGAATAGTTTATTTACAGTCCACATTCCCCAGGAGTGTAAAACTATACCCTAATTTCACTTTTATTGATTGAAGTGAGTACCAGACTTTCCTACTTTGTCAACTTCCAGTTGGCTTTGTGATTTCAAACACGTTAGTCATTGAACTGAGTAGAGGTGAAAAAAATTAAGTGCAAAGAATATTCTTCAGGAGAAGCTTTTCTTGTCCATTGACTACAGCTGCCATCATAGACGACTACACTGAACTAAAGGAGCCAAAACCAGGGTCTTAAATTTTGCTTATTTCAACCATTTTGGCAGAAATTTTCTGAATAGTGTGACTTGCTCAGGCTGAATGCTTTTGGAAAGTGTCAGCTACCGTTTCAGAGTGATTTGGGAAAATTTTTACTCGTCTTTTTGCCGTGATTTACCTAAAGAGTTTTGAAGAGTTTGTTCTACTTGAATTTGACAGGAGAAGCTTGGCTGGCGTTAAGCAGGTATCTCTGCTCTGGATATGACCCTAACTCAACTTCTGTCTCTGAAAAGAGAATCACTAACTTGGCTGACAGCTGGGAAGGATTTGGCCTCACTGTGTGACCTGAGGAGTGTTGTCATTCCTCTTGGGCAGCAGGTCCCCAGTAGTGGTGGAAGAGGAGCAAAAAGCAGGGAAGCTTTCTTTTTGCTCTGAGCTGCTGCAGCGTGCACCCTTTGAAGAGCACAGCAGTACAATGCAGGACCCACATGGGAGAGGGTTAGTGGCTGAAGGAGGGGGACGTGCTGAAGACACCAAAGATGCCAAGAAAGCAGGCATTGAGAGCAGAGAGGGGAGTGGAGCCCAAAAGCAGGCATAGGGGTAGAAAGAGTAACCTGAAACATAATTTCTTGAGCTGTAGTTGACTTTTGCTTCCAGTTATGCTTCCAGGCTTGCAACTGCTGATACTGTGGTTGAATTTTCCTGCAGTTCAATTAATAATTCATGAGGGACTTCTAGGGTTTGAATCTCTTCTCCATACTGTTCTTTTGATGTTACTGTTTAGAGTTAGTAGGAGAATTTTTTCCTTGAAATATGTTGTTCACTTTAATTCTGTTAAATAGAATTCCCCTCCTTTCTATGAATTAATATTGTGAAAGGAAAAAAAGGAATCTCGTATGGAGATGGATCAAATTGAGGATAATAGCCATTCTGTTTGTCTTGGTTATGTGTGATGTATATATGAAAATACTACTGAATTAGTCAGCAGTGTTGTAGCCTAAAATGTCATCTATACATCCAATTAATTAAATTATTTGTTGTCATACTTAAAAAGTCAAGGCTGAATGCCAGACTTTGTTACAGTGTGTTTTGGACTACCCCAATTAATGTATTTTATGAGCAATGGTGGTATTAAGAGGAACTAGAATGACTTGGTTTGCATATGAGATTCATCCATTTCAGTTTCTCTGGAGAGCTGAAGCTTGTATATTTTACTCTGTGACTATCTGGGAAGAGTGCAGGTTGCTATAAATCCCACTGAAACTCTGCCTTGTTTTTATAACTCTACAATGTCTTTTGTCTTGTCTATGATGACTAACTGTTGAGTAACTTATATGTTTAAAAATGCCCATAGCCTGCTCTTCTAAAACGTCTATTTGATGCAGACACCTAAGCTGAGGACAGATCTTCAGAAAAATAATTATTGAAATACGTCAAATACAGGGAAAGGCTTCAAGTAGGTCAGTGACCTGAGTTGAAACAGTTGACTCAGTTAGGGGATAAGCTCAACCTGTATATGTATATGAAAGACTTTCTACATTTCAGCACTTCCTGCAGCAGGAGAACTTCGATCTAATGTCCAAGAACCTAGCTAGTCTCTGACTCTGAAAAAAGAGGGTTTTTTTCAAGGATTTTATGTAAACCAATTGCTTAACTGGTAGAATTAACAGTTATTGTGCTAATTATGCTAATTGAATCAGTGTCTTTAATATCAAGATGGTTGTAGTGTTATATTCTTGCTTATCTCTTTCCCCCATTCATCCACTGTGGTAAGCATTTGTGAATCCTGCTTCTTCCAGAACCTTAACTGACCATTTGGCTGCTCATCTCTTGTTCTCTGCAGATGTGTGCACTGCCTGGGATTGCGGGTATCTTTTTGTGTGTGCACAAGTTAGAACAGCCTTGAGTCTACTGGAGCTGGGACAGAAAACTACAGGACAATAAGGAGCTGGCTTCTCTGATCGTTTCCACTCTTTATGTCTGCCTTGGAGGCATTTGGGCATTCTTGGGATTTTGTGGTTTCCCATTATAACAAATGCAGGCTGTCATCACAAAAGGTGATGTCCTCTGTGTTTGATCTAGTGAAGAGTGGCTGTAGGATGAGGAAGTTCATCTTTACCAAGAGGAAAATGAACAGTTTTGTTAGTTTTCTGTTGTGTGAGCAGGCTGTGTTGAACCATCCTTTGGTCACACTGTTTAACGTGGCCCACGGGAAGCGATAGGAACCTGCAGGGGTGATTTGGGTATAATGCAAACTTGTACCCTAAGGTTAACATGTCTGAGCATTAACAAAAGAAAGGGGAGTATTGATTTTTGTCTCCCAGGCAGGAGGCTCAGGTCCAAGTACAACTCTCCTTCCATCAGGAGCTTAGCCAGGTGTGCAGAGAGCAGGCATGCAGTATGTGGGCAGTGTGAGAGTAAGCAGAGAGAGAGCTGGTTGATGAATGCTGCTCTGACCTGAAAGGAAAAGCCTCTGCAGCAGTCTTGATCACCTCTGCAACTGCTCAGCCACCCTGTCTTTGAGCTTCTGGGATGGAAGGTGGCAGAGAAGCAGGGGCAGAGCATGTGCCTCTGGGCAGGGGAGAAGGGAGATGGGAGATGCCATTGACTAGGGGTCTTGTCTGAGTTGACCTTGGCAGAGGAGGCTGCTGTAGAGGTGAATTGGTGGTCCTAGCACACTGGGGCTTCCATGTCCTGAGTGACAAGAACATGTCATTAGATGATTATCAGGTCTCTTTCCCCTCTGCTAGTGGAGGGGATGGAAGAAGAGCTTAAGGGCTCTTTCACAGCTGGTCTGAAGGTGACCAAGGACTCTGAGGCAGCATGCAGCAGCTGAAGGGACACCATGAGGCAGAAGCTGAAACTGAACGACTCCAGGATTCACCCTCTTCAACATCTTCCCCTGGTAAGGAACAAATGACTCTCCCAGTGAGCTTGCTGGAAAAGATCCTGTACCAGCTATGCAATAAGGAACAGTATTTGGGTGCAGCTTCCTCAGGTTATGAGGGCTGTCATGTCCCTTCCACACTAACAGTGAAAGCAGTTTCCCACAAGACCAAATACAGAAATCATTTAGATGAATATAATCCTCATGTCAGAAGACAAGTAACGGTTTCTTAGCAATCTTTCCATGTGGTGAGAGGTAGCAAGGTATTGAGAAAGACAGATGTTTGATTTGACTCTCTTTAGCAAGTCTAATGACTCTTAAGTGCTTTAATTTAATAGTAGTATGGTATGTAAAATGTTGTGACTGATAAGTACTTTATTGAGCTATGTTACAGGGCTACAAACAGTATTCTTGAGAGATTTTGTATAAAGGGAGCGTAGTATTATTTTTAGTTCTGTGAAAGTGGGACAAAGATACTGATTAAATGTTAGAAATTGTAATCCTTAGGAATCAAAATATTTTCTGTGAACAGCAGAATTTGACCAATCTTGACATCCAATCTGTCTTGTCTGGATTCTTCATCTACCACCTTACTTTCAGAGAACCTTTAATAACACTGCTTCTAATACTTTGTTTGGACATAAGAGGTGCTAATAAATATTGACTTGTATGTGTGATCAGGTAAGATTCATTTGTTTTGGAAACCACAGAAGTTAAAAACAGAAATGTGAATTTTTTTTCTCTTGACATTTTGTGCTGTAAGGCTTCTTTTTTGCAACGTTTAGGGCTTTAAAAATAAAAACAAAAGAATAAAATGAAGCAACAATTCCACACAGTTGTGTGTCTGAAGAACTGGAGCTTCAAAAATGTATTGTCAGCTTCGTAATAAATTCATGGAGTGAGCAGTATTATAACTGTTTCTGTTATACTGCCTTTGTAAGCTTGCATTTGAACACTTTTGAAAGGAAAACAGCATGCATGTACTTTCAGCAAGTATTTCATTTGTTTTTAGTACTGTAGAATATCTGGCTCATGAGAATATAAAACTGTAAAATTGTATTTACATTGAAACAAACAGATCTTGAATCTACTGGGTAGAAGCTAAGCCAACTTGGGATTTAAGAACTTGTGTAATAAAATTTGGATTTTATTTTAAATAGCAAGTTTAAAGTACTTGAGTAGAACTCAAATT